TCATTTTGAACAGATAACATACAGAAGCACATACGGATGATGATTGCCATTGAAACATTGGTTTAAAAATGAATATACATGGAGTTTTACTCCTCTTTTCATAATGTTTTAGAGTTATTTTAGTATATTTCACACGGGCTTTTCATCACACCTTATGCGAGATAAGAAATCATACAGAGAAGGGCTGATATCACAAAAATCATTCACGATTTTTTTTTTCAGAACAATAGTACAGATGTAAATAATGTGCATTTACAGTTGCGTAAATGATGAATCAAATGTGCTCTCTTAACACCCATTCTAATGTAAATAACTTTTCATAGGCAGGAGGCATCCCAGCGGGATCAAATAAGGTTAAATATAAAAGTAACTTAGTTTTTATCAAGTGAAATTTTAACAATTAAGAACACACGGTCGTTCCGTACCGGTCGCTTCTTGTGGGGTTCTTTTTGTTAACATTGAAGTTAATATATACTAACATAAACATGTGACGGAAACTTACTTTATAGTTAATTTGATTCGCCATTTGTATCAGAAAAATATAATAATCTATTCAAAAAATTGACATGATATATAGAGTAGGTATTTAAGGTACTTTTACTATCAAATCTGTATAATTTTGGGGTATTCATCAAATTGCTAATATTTGAAATTGTACATCTATTACTCACAATAGCTTGAAAAAGAAGTCACTTTTTTAACAGACGCTCATAAGGTTTAGTTAAAAACAGTTGCAAGAAACGTTTTATTATTTAAGCCAATGAAACTTATTGTTTTTTATGCACTTCACAAGCATATAAATAGAGCGTGTGCAGCGTGAAATAGAGAAAAGTAAAATCACTAAAGAAAGCCCAACACGACAAAATTGTAAAATGTTTCAGGCTCGGTTTGATTGAGCCTGTTCATGGACGGTACTGGAAAGTGCAAATTACCGTCCACGCCCCCCTAGCACCGGCTTAAGCAGAATTCAACATTTAAACACAAAAAGGTGAATTTTGAATTTAGAAACATCCGCAGATGTGTTCATACGGCGGTTATCATGGAACCTTCAATGTGATACAGTAGTGTCATTCCATGAAAAGCAGCGTATGGTTCCCAAGTAAAAGAATGCGTGTGCCCTAAACGAGAAAACAATGGGCGAAACTAAATAAAATGGAATTTTGAAAGGGGATCTGAGGTTATGAAGCCTGCATATAAACTTCAGTCTGTTACTGTCCGTGGAAGAGTGGAAACAAAGTCATAAATACTTACTCAGGTACACAGAAATCTCAGATATCTGGATCTAAGGACGTTTTATGATGGCTCCGTACGGTTAAGATCGAAGTGGTAATTATATTTACTAGTACCCAGACATCTTAGATATCTGGTGCTAAAAATATCTTTGCTGCTTCAGGAAATACTTTGAAAGTTGAATAGTAAGACGAAGTGATATTGCATTTTCTTGTACCTAGACATCTTAGATATCTGCTGTTAAAATACTTTATTGCTTCAGTGAAACCTCTTGGGCAAATGTTTGATATGGGATAGCTTTTTTCGAAAATAGTATTTTAAAGGATAGATTTTTGAACGTTTGGTTTATTAGAGATAAGGGATTTTGTTGATTTGAACTATTAAAGTGAGAAATAAAGAGAAAGGTTTAGGAATATAAGTTTTTGTGTTTAATTGTTTTTTGAAATATATTATTCGGATAGTTTAAGAATTAGGTTGAGATTGTTATTTTTGCAATTTATTAGTTCGTTGATATCTAATCAATAAGGTAAAGAACCCACAAGAAAAAAAATATATTTGAATATTTCAAATCAATTCGGATAAGTATCCCAAGAAAAAAATATATGTTTGCATTAAAGAATATTGTGATTTTATTTTGTAGCAACTTGAATAATATTCAACCGCTCAGTACACGCTACATACATAGATATATTTAGCGATGATAAAGTAAACAAATCTTTATCTCCGACCTCATTTATTTTCTGAAAATAAACGCAGCTAAATATATTTTCCGTAAATTATATCATGTATATTTTGCGTTAAAGATGAGTCATCAAATATTATTCAGACACATTTGCTTACTTTTGATTTAATTTTTCATCTTTTGCATTAAAGTATTTTCGAAATATTTTACACCTTTTAAATAAATGCAACAGGGTTGCCTAAACAACGTGATATTTTTTTGGTTCTGTATTGTTTTAAAGAAACAAGTTTATAAAAAAAAGTACACGAAAATGAGCACATTATACCGATGTGTCATATTCTGAATTGATACAATTATAACGTTACTAGAACATCAAAATATGGTTTAACCTTTGATCAAAATTTAATTTTGATTTAATGTAATCAGGCTTTTACAATAACATTTGTGTTTAAAATCCAATGCATATTAGAAAGGGATATCTTGCTCTGAAAGAGTAAATATATTGTCTCTCAAGACTGTTCGTATTTTCGAAAAAACACTTTACCTACCTCAACATTTATTTAATATGTAAACAAGTGTAATAGTAAGAGAACTTGTTCTTGTTTATAAATCAAGTATAGTAATTTGTGTTGTTGTTGTTTTTTTTCGAAAATCTATATTTAGCGCATAGCTATCCTATCTTTTAACCCGGAAGTATATTGCAGATGTCACATATCTACCTAAGTTATAATTATGCAAAATGGATTTTTGGAAATTAAGTTAAATTCATTTCAGATGATATACAACGAGCTACTGATTCAAACGATACAGGTAATGTTTACCTTAATGTCCTTAAACATTCTTTCATTTACAACATTATTCCTTCAAAGTATGCAAAACAAAAATAAAAAAATCTTTAATATCTTGAACTCTACAAATATTATCCTTAATGTGTATAAATTTTACAGATAAAATAAAACAGTTTCTTGATATATGTTTCCATCATGTTAAATTTAAAAGGGCTAGCGATTTTAAGGTTTAAAACAAATGCTGGTTCCTGCTTAACCCTAAATGTGCTGGAACCGAAAGTGTTGTGTTAAGCCTTTGCCATCAGTATAGAGCCAGGCCAGCCTGCACATCCGTACAGTCTGACCAGGCTCTATACTGTTGGCTGACAAACTTTAAATACTCAAATTGATATCCCTAAAATTAAAAAGGGTCAGTCCCAAAAAATGGAAGTGGGACAAGTCCATTTAAATTATTCAGCATGTTAAGGGTTAATATAGCAGATTACCTGTCATCATGAAAATATATAAAGGAAACAATAACAAATATTCTTTTCTCAAATATGTACCTAAGTAAAGAACGTCAATTTCCTCCGACTTCCGATCATCACGCCTGGTGATATTCAAAGATGATGTTTAATTTCAGATCACTTTAGCAGCAAATGGATGAAGGAAAGACATTATTTCGTCTATTACGCAATGATGAAAATCCATTACAATTTGGAATAATTGCCAAGATTCCATTAGCAGTGGAAAGTCCAAGGAACCATATAAGTGAAGGATCTAAACTGCCTTCACAGTGGATATCAACATCTAGGAACATGGCAGCTATTGATCTATTAATAAAATTAAAACGAAAAACTGAGGGCCCCAATGCTAAATGCAGAGTTGCAGTAATTGATGAACAGAAGTTGCTTTGGTACTCGCAATTAAGTGTGTTTCAAATTCGACAACTTTTTCAAACATTTAATATAAGAAATGGTCAAATACCAGCACATCTTTATCCAATGTTATGCCCGACAATTTCATTGACAACAGGTCCAGTTTTAGATTTCACAGATCAGCAAGTTTTGGATACATATATACCTACAGTGCAGGGTGTCGGAAACAATAATAAGATTAGAGGTTATGCAATGAAGTACAGTGAAGTGTTAGTGGAACGATATATTCCGGCGGACTGTTGTATTGCTGTATACAACAAGTAAAGTCAAGAATTAATTTAACTTCTATATAAAATAAGCATGCAACTGTTAAATATTACCCGAGTTGATGTTTAATGTGAATGTTAAGTTTCTATTATTAAATGTTAAAGAAATTACATGAATTTGTTATCTTGTCTAGAATAACTGATTACATAAAGTAAACAATTGTTAAATAAATACCAAACTGAATTACATGTATGTTCTCAAGCTGAGTTGAATTGTGTGTATCCATAAAGTGCATACCTTGTCTAGTTTGAATTTAACCTTCATGAACGTGCCCTAATTTCAATTTGATAATATGGTTTAATGTCACCATTATATGTTTTCAAGTTCTTTCCTGTGTAGAACCTGAACCAAACTCACACTGCTTATATCCAAGTTTCAGAGTTCCTCATACCCCTATAACCGAAAAGTTTATAGATATAGAAGAAAACAGTGGGCATCCTCATTCGGAACCGCCTCGGTTATTATCTATAATAACATCGGAAACAATACGGATTGAAAGTAGCTCTACCACGTGGTTTCAGATGTAAACAGAAAAAGAGATAATGTAAAACGAATGTATATATTTGACATCTATCTGTTCCAGTACTCGTATGCTTGAAAATATGTCTGACAACAATTTGTAATTTAAATATGCGAACTGATGTTCAATTTTAAACATATCCGACCAAATATCAACATGATGGTTTTTTGTACTTTCGGTTTCTACAACCATAATAATAAATATATAAATAATGTATTGTTTGCTTTTGTACCTATGAATTCACTTATTTTAGGTGGCCTTTTACTACATAAGTTATATTGGAAATAAACTTGTCAACAACTCCCAGCATTAAATTACTATTTGTTTACATGTTTAGTTTCTTAGCGTAGGTTAGACCGAAATACCGCATCCGTTCTGTGTATTCATACTATTGTGTTCGAGGTCCTTATCCGAAGACTCACGGAAAGGGATGAGTAGTTGAGATTGAGGGCATCCTTATTACAAAATATAACGTTTCTCCCGAATAACTTTTTTTATCTTCTGAAATAGGCTAAGCTTCCCGTGTTTTGCGGACGATGCCTTTTTTGTTAAACATTTCATTTCATCATCATTAATAAGGATGTTCTCCTCCCAGGAAGATTTGACCTGAAAATCATTTTTCACAAAGCTTACTGTGAAGGTCACACACCAGATAAAAGAGGGACTCCGGTGGAAAGTGCTTGTCATTTGGCTTTTATACCACGAAGACAAAATCTGATACAATGATTAACTAATTACATTTCGGCACTGGACAAACTTTAGATAATTTTACGAAAGATAAAGATTAATACATTATGAAGTTTACGTTAAGGCAATGATAATAATTTGATAAATCAAGATTACAGATAAAAGGTGTTTTTCGTGATTTACGTCAAACTGTGAAACTCGTTATGTATTTAACGAATTCAAAAAGCTCGGTGATAGTTTGCAGGTCCAAAGCTTTTAGCTCTAGTTCCATCCGGAAATACTAACTGGAAAGGCATTCAGTAAATGAATGCACATTTGGATAGAATATTTAAGTGTAAATTTGCATAGATCATAAAGAAACGAAGAAATTTTAATGCAACGTATCTCGACAGATGTGTACTTGAGTCCAGTTCCTCCAACACAGCTATTGCAGGCTTAGCTTTCTTCCACGCCTTAAATGAGTTGAAAGATCAGCGCGTGTTAGGTCCATGTTGTACCAATGCGTCAAGATCCGGGTCGGACAAAATATTCCGGTTGTACATCATTTACAAAATTTACCATTTGACTGCCCGTAAGTAGACCTTTAAAAGATGAAAACACAAACATAAACAAGGAACTTAAAGGAACAGTAAATGCACCCCAACAGAACCAGCAACTTAAGGACCATTGCTAAGAAGTCCAGCAGGGCATCAAACAAATCCACGAGAAGGGAAAAGGACTGAAGGAGTGTTATTTTAATTAAATCAATAAAAGAAATGATAGAAACAAAGACACTATATAGAAGGGAACTAATTATGTCGTTTAGAGTGGCGCCTTTTTCAATGTCACTCAATGTAAATCATCCTGAGTAACATTATTATTTTAAATGTAGTGCTGACGATAAAACAATGTCATCATCATTTTTAGTGTTCAACATCATTTGCCGACCAATGACAGCGCTTCATTTTTTTTTAAAAAATGCCCTTCTTAATTGTATAGACAGGCAAGACGGACACTTAACAATTAAGAGTTTCGAACGGAGTCAGCATGTGTAAACTGAATGTAGTAGCCCCGCCTTATTAGGATGACTTGACAATGGTAAAAAATAAGCGAGAACTAGGTCAATGTTCTTTCATACAATGAACTACCGCTTTTATAGCAGCGTCCTTTAGTAAATATAGAAAAACCCAAACATTTTGGTCATTTTGAACTTACATATATAAATCACAAATGAACGGTGATTGTCATTTAAATATTATCTACTAAAGCAAACAGGCACATGAATGGTATAGTTTCACTCATCTGTTCACTTTGTTCAGGGGTTATTTCTGTATATTTCAGCTGGAAATGTCCTCAATCCTTCGGCGACCAAATTAAACAGAGAAGTGCTAAAGTTGGTATCACAATAATCATTCACATCCAATTTTTTTTTAGGAAATGGGAACATTAAAGAAATTCAGCGTTAAACGATGTTATTAATGTAAACTCTGTCATCGCTTGCTATTTATATATTGATTGACCTAACAGATAGACGAAATGTAATGTGCTCTCTAAACTCTATTCTATGTATTGAAAAGAACATTCTATAGGCGGGAGGCGTCCCAGCAGGGTCAAATAAGAATAAACACTAAGAAGGTTAGTTTTATTAAGTAAACATTAGAAAAATTAAGCATTCACGGTCGCTTACTACCTGTCACTTCCTTTTAGGTTCTTAATAGTTAAAATTTCACTTTATAAACACTAACATTTTTGACCAGCCAAATGTAAATGATCTTAACAATGAATAAGCTGAAGCTATCGTGATTCGTTCTTATTTGCAGGGGTTCACAGTTTCTTTGGCAAAGAAGCAAAGGTACCTATGAAGGGTTATATACCTAAAACAATCGGTGTAGCTTTGCAAAATCGCAGTAAAGAGCGTCCAACGATGGTCATGCGATAAAGCAGTTAAAGAATAAATACTTTGACTTAACCGGCTGGACTCCGTCTTAGTTAAGTTCCTATGATTGACCCTTATTGTCTCCCCATTTGCTGCCATACCAGCCTGTAAAGTCCGCGATAACATTCTTTAACTATTACGTAAGGCTTGTAAAATATCTCACAGCGTCGATAATTAAATATTCCGGGCTATTTATAGAGTTTACAGTGCAATAGTGCAATACATACATTGCCAGTATGAATCTTAAGATGCGAAAACAATTGTAAACAATTCTGTTCATTACAAACATGTCAAAAAGGTCATCAAATGCAATTCGAAAATACATACCTGTACATTTCTGAAACGTCATTATATAGATATATGTGCAAACCAGAGCAGTATAATATAATTGTAACGATTGGTTTAAAACTTGGACAGCCATTCTAGATAACGATATATAGATATGATGTCATTTAAACCTGAGTGAAATGTTATTTCCTTGATTCTTTATTTAGAATTTAGTGGTTTCCTCTATAAAACATATATATAATATTCTTTCCAGACCGTTCTTATTCATTTAAGCTACCAATTCTCTAGTAAACAGGCTGTACAAATAAGAATTCACGGGATCTACAATTGATATATTTTTATGTTTTATAGAGGTAAATAATTATCACAAATAGATATTGTTATTTGTAACAATTTTGCGTTGCTTTTCTCTATAAAAACGTTCGAGATTCATTCTTTTAGTTTAAACAATATTTGTAATAAATTTACGTGATTGTTTGATTTATATTTAAGGAAATTGGATAAAAAAGATTATTGTCTAATTCAAATATTGTGAACTAGCAAAAATATTTCAATGTATTTTTACACTGATATATATTTTTGTTTTTGACAGCATCATTTCCTTATAGAAAATATAAATGGAGAGTAAAACTAAACTATATCGTCTTCTGCGAGATGATGAGGAAAATCCTTTAGAAAACGGTGTAACCGCCAAACTTCCTCTGGCTGATGAGACACCGCTACATCACATACGTCACGGATCTCGTACCCAATCACAGTGGATCTCAACCTCTCGGAGTCTTGATGACGTAAAAAAGTTAATTCGATACAAAATATTACATGAGGGGCGTAAAGCATGTAGAGTTGTTGAAATTGACGAACAGAAGTTGGTTAAACTTAAAAAAGAGCTTAACAGACTGAAGATTGAAAAAGTGATGAAGATCTTAGAAATTTTGCAAAAACCTTCAGAATTAATATTAACGGATCTTTTAATGGATTATATTTTAACAAATACAACAGGTAAAATATTAGACTTTACTGATGAAAGTATTATGAACACGTATATCCCTAATCAATTTGGAAACATGACGGCTCGGGGTTACGCAGAGAAATACAGTGAGGTTCTTGTAGAGCGTTATATACCATCAGAATGCTGTACGCGCATCCACATTGTGACAATGTAGGTTTCTTGTATCTGAATTTGGCGTTACATATGATACAATCAAAATGTTATACAAGCATGCAACCATGCTGTAATAATGTAGTTGACTTGTGTTTAGATTGAGCGTTACATGTCAGCAGAATGTTGTATATAAGTTCACGTTACAACAATGAAGGTGACTTGTGTTTGGTTTTATCATACCAGCAGAATGTTGTACGTTCGAATGGAGACAAAATGTGTTTGGATTGAGTGTTTCATGCCAGCAGAATTGTGTACGTTCGACCACGCTTTAAAAATGGAGACGAAATGTATTTGGACTGAGTGTTTCATGCCAGCAGAATTGTGTACGTTCGACCACGCTGTAAAAATGGAGACGAAATGTGTTTTGATTAAGTGTTTCATGCCCGCAGAATGGTGTACGTTCAACCACGCTGTAATAATGGAGACGAAATGTATTTGGATTGAGTGTTTCATGCCCGCAGAATGGTGTACGTTCAACCACGCTGTAATAATGGAGACGAAATGTATTTGGATTGAGTGTTTCATGCCCGCAGAATGGTGTTCTTTCGACCACGGTATGATAATGTAGTAGACTTGTGTTTTATTGAGCGTAACATACCAGCAGAATATTGTACATACGACCACGCTATGATTAAATGTGTTTGGATTGAGTTTTTCATACCAGCAGAATGTTGTAGATGCGACCACGCTTTAATAATGGAGATGAAATGAGTTTAGATTGAGCGTTTCATACCAGAAGAATGTTGTTCCTTCAGCCACGCTTTAAATATTAAGTTGACTTGTGTTTTGAATAAGTGCTACATATTGTCAGAATTTTGTACATGTGCATGCGACCACGCTATAATAACTTAGTTGACTTGTGTTTGGAATGAGCGTTTTATGCCATCAGAAGTTTGTACATGCATCCACTCTATACTAACGAAGGTGACTTGTTAGTGATCATTAGATATTTTGGACATGTCGTTAGGGATCGTTGGATATTTGAGACATGACAAAGTTGTCACGTGTTGTTTAGAGATAATTGTTCTTTTCATATTTTTATAATCAAGTATTATGAAATAACTTTATATGCATCTCTCAAGGCACGTGTACACAGTTGTAATTTTCAATTTGAAAATTTTCATCATATTTAATCAATGTTTATAATTATACTTGTAAATAAAGATTTGAAATAACGTTTGTAGTTATATGATTTTACCAAGTAAATATGTATACGCCTTTTATTGTGGGTATTTATGTTACCAGCTTTCAACGCTTATGATTAGACATTGATAAACATCCGTTTTTTTATTGTTTTTTTATTGTCTAATATCAAAACTAGACCCATAAACATAGTACCAAACTGTATCAATCAACCCATAAATGAACACACAATAAGCAAGCACACTTCGCCTATAAACACGGTATTAAGAAATGAACCCGTGATGACCAACGTCCAAACAGCCTTCTATACCAAAATATCTAAAGCGACATACATTGGTATCATGGGTATTATAAGGTCTGATATAAATCTAGTTATTATAGGAATATCTCAACAATCTTATACCGACTCGCCTTTTAATCGAGTTTATTCACGTGTTTACGATTAAACCCTCAATGAGTTCATAGTTAAAATACAAATTAAACTTTTTTTTAAAAATTCATTTGAAAATTCATTAATAGGTCATTAGGTTAGATAGTTGTGCAATTTGCGTAATTCGCAATAAAGAGTCTTCTGGAACAGTACTAGGATTTTCCTATTATAATAGGTATTTTTCTTAATAAAGAAAGTATGGGTTTCCTTCTTTCTATTTATTGTCAATCAATAAGAAATACAACTCAACAATAGTATTTTAATGTCATTGTATATGTCATATAGATTGATATTGATTTACATTCATAAAGGAATTTCTAACTTAGTTTTGAATTTGCTCCAAATATCATAAGCAAATTTAAATTTTCAACATATGTAGACTGTTGTATTTCGATACTAGAGAACTTATACATTATTTAATTGTTCCGTTATTACTCCCCCCCCCCCCCCCGAAAATTAAATTGATTATTATTCCATTTCTACAATAATAAATGTTTATGAAATATTGAAATTAAAAACAAAAATGAATTCATTTAACAAGAAAGATACTTAAGATAGATAAAGTCATATTTTTTCAATGCAGAAGTATGTCGCATTTTGTCATAGCAAACTTGACTTGGACTTGATCCAAAATATGTATCAGATAAAGATTGAAACTAAAAACTTCTTTATTTGGTCGGTCAACAATGACGTTAGTAAAGGTTAAGAACAAATTGCTGAAAAAAACAACATCATATGTTTTAATCTTGCTCAATTAGTCGCATACCTTACTATAAGGTTGAATTATTAACGATAAAAAGGTGAAATAACGAAACTCTACGTAAATGGACAATTTTGTGTTTGACAGTAAAACATGCGTAAAAAGGACCGCATGCATGCTTTCGTTAGTTCTTACTTGTTTTTATAACATTTGTGGTATGTTTTGCATTTGTAATAAAGTATATAAATATTTCCAGTGCCCCCCACCCCCACACTTTCAAAATAATTTAATAGCTTTTATAAGTAAACACACTTTTACAAAACATGTGATCGCTTTCTCTTTATTTTAAAGTATTAACAGTTAAGTTGTACAATAAGTTTCTATACTTAAAAATTCATTTTGTAAATCTGTGATTTTTAATTAACTGTATACTGTACTCGAATGTGATAAACTGATATTACATTTTTACTTTGTTTGTGTTGGTTGCTGATCTGCTTCTTTCATATATTATTTGAGTTGGTGATTTACTTTAGAGGGAGACACAGGCAAAATTTTCATTTCTTAGTTTTGAGTTTTTCAGTCATTATTCTGTAAATGCCCTCAAAATGAATATATCAGACAGTCAAAGGAACAAAAGTTTTCTCCATATAAAGAATAAAATGGTGGTTTCCTAACTTGACCCGTGTGGGTCAGGTTAGAGCGCTATGATTTCACAATAGTTGTCAAAGTGAACTCTGGAAACGTTAAAGAACATGTCAAATGAATGACTTAGACTTGTTTCAATCATACAATATCCATATTATCTGTTATTGTAACTTCAATGGTTTGTTCAAGTCATGTGACTTGTTTTAAAACTATTTGGTGATTCTATTCGGGTCTAAATTTTGTTCAACATATATAGATATATTTACGCTTCAAACCCAAAATATTTAGAATTTAAACAGAAATTCATGCTGAAACTTCAAGAAATGTCATTTTAGTGTGAATTGAGTACATAAGATCATTTTAATATTTTTGTCATTATTTCGCCTGAATATCCCTTTAAAAGTTTCTAAATTGTCAGATTTTTTGTTTACTACTATTCTTTGTCCAATTGTACGATAACGTTTTATCTTGGCTTTGCTCAGCAGCTATCTCACAACTGACTTTGAAATACCCATTTTTTAATAGTTTCCAATTCTAAAGTTTTGTAATTGTTTTGTATTTAAACCTGATTTTTCATGAAATACAATAGATAATCTCGATTTATCTGTGACTAAAGAAAAGAAAAATTTAGTTTAGTGCATCAATTTAGTTTTGTAACTTTTTGTTTTAAATTAAGACTGATGGTTCAACTAGATAAAATTTAGCCAATGAAATTAAACTTCGAAAAAAAACACAATAAAATGTACAACTCCGATTATTTCACATTAATACGAGTAATAGTATAAGAAAAATCTATAAAACGACATAATAGGAAATCTTTAAAAGACTGTCTGGTTTCAGTGCCGGCAAATTAATAAAATAAACACAGACATATCGTGCCCTTTTTTGTAAATATAAACCCAAATCAAAAAGGGACCAAAAATTTTTTTTCTACACTTTTTTTCCCCTTAAACATTATTTTTAAAGGGGGAGATAAACATGGGGTTACATTTTGGGGTTTTTCCCATTACGTAACTGAAAAATAAGACGTAGTTTTTTTTCTTTAAAAAAAATTTAAACGAGTATTTTCCTATAGTTTTTAAAAGGAAAAACAGGGTAACTTCCCAAACAAAATGCATTCAAGTTAAAAACCAGTGTTTACAAGCAAAGTAACACACATACAATCGTGATTCGTTAAACAGTTCTAATTAATAACAGTGCTGTCGGTCTAATAATCAAACATTATTTCAAAGTTTTAATTGTATACCCGGTATTTTATCAACGTTAATGTTTGCAAATTATCGGAGACATTTTAACTGTCTATCGTATATAGTATTTTAGTGTCAGGTAATATTGTGGCAGATGTTATAGAAGAGATATGGATGACAGTCGTAAACTTTATCGACTACTACGAGAAGATGAGAATCCTATGATAGATGGGATCAGAGCCAAACTTCCGCAGGCACAAGATACCCCGCTTAAGCATATACGCAATGGATCATGCAGAAAATCTCAATGGATTTCAACTTCAAGATCCTTATCTTGTATTGAAAAGTTTATAAAATTGAAAAGGAAAAGAGAAGGAAGTTTTACAGTATGTAGAGTTGTGATAATAGATGAACAAAAGTTAATGCTTTACTCGGAATATTTTCGTCTCAGAAACATTTTTAGGAGCATTACCGAATATAGAAAAGCCCCAATTGACACATTAATAAAACCGTTGATTGACGAGCAGACTATTGGTGAAATTTTAGACTTTACAGATCCAAAAATCATGGACAAATATATTCCTTCAAATCCGTCACGACCAATGATTAACGACCGAGCTCGCGGTTATGCTAGGAAATACGATGAGGTGCTTGTCGAAAGATTTATACCTGCCAGCTGTTGTCTCGACATTCTTTACAAATAATTTTATGTGAATATATTATCCGCTTTTTATATTTTTGTTAGGTAATACTATTTTATATTGTGCTTTTGTATGATTATTTTATAATTTGATATCATTTTTATTGTTTTACTATTTATATGAATATTTACATTAATTATTTAAACAGCATGTAACATATGTTTAAGTGCAATAATAATTGTATAGTTCTTTCAATTTGTATTTGCTTTTATTTCATAAGACAGTACAATTACCAATTTAAAAGAATGTTAAAAATTTCAAACATTGATATGTGGGGTTTTGTCAATTTTTTTTTAAACCCAAATTTTGCGTTTAACCCCGGGTTTTATTTTTTTTTTGGGGTCATATTGGCCCCAATTTCCCGTTTTTCTTATGCAGGAAATATATACCCGTCATGTACCAGAGTATATTATAAATTTTCTTAAATAGAAGGTTGTAGTCACACATAAAGGCCATTTAGAGACTTGATATGAGTTATCAGAGATTGAAGAAACACGTGCAATAAACTTGCAATAACTTTCAACGTTATTGGCGGTGTTATTGACTGTGTTTTACTGCACCTGTGCGATATTTTATATCATTTATGGTATAGAAAATCGAATGTTATAATATGACTGGTATGGTTTAGAAAATCGAAAGTTATAATATGACTGGTATGACAAAGTATTCGAATTTAATGATAAGATATCCAATGTTAATGTAAAGGTTAAAGTTATCCCGAAACAAAAATGCATCTTGTTCAAGGTAATGTAACGGATGCAGTTACACATTGAATCCTGATACAGTTCAACGTGTCATATTGACCTTATATGATATGCACAACGTCTTATTTTGGTTAAGAAATAAGCTAAGTTAAGGTGTAATGAATATCATTCAAAACCCATGCATGAATAACAAAGTCAAGCACTAAAACAACCATCTATTCACAATCATATCTTGACTTGCGCCATACAGATGTGACCTTGACCTCTGGAGATCTAATTTGTGTACCCAACACATTGTCTTAATGTAAAACATGTGTGAAAGTTAGTTTATGTAACATTTCTGTGATGTTTTGCTTGCGAACATCTCCATGGCCTATTATTTTAATTCAAAACCCATCCATGAATGGCAAAGTTGTGGACCGGAAAAGAACATTTATTTACAATCACATGATTATGAAAGTAAAAGGACACGACCAAGAATGCACTTGTATTCCGTGCAAGAACAAGAGTGATGTTGACATCTGAGTTTGAGACACGATTCTTGTGTGGGATGCCGCCATCATGTCCGACACATGTCAAACCATTTAAAAATCCATCCTAGAGGCAAGATCATCGTTATTAAAATTGAAAACTGTTTCCGGTCAATGGCTAGAATCTGGAATGAGAATTTTCAATGACACTTGGTGTAACATAATCGTATGTTAAGACCCTGCTTGGGATTGCTTTGGGCTCCCTCTCTTCTAGAGTCAAGGTCACTGTTACTAAAAATAGAAAATCGGTTTACTCTCAATAACTTAAGTTTGGAATCAGATAATATTTTCAATTTTGTTATATAGCACGCTTATGTAGAGACATTGCTTGGGATTGCTTTAGTTCCAAAATAGTTAAGGTCATATTCACTGTTACTAAATGTAGAAAAATGGTTTCCAGTGGATTACTATAGTTAAAAATTAGAATGAGATATAAGAATCAAAATTGGTATATATAAAAATCTAATGTAGTGACCATGCTTGAGATTGCTTTTGGGTCACCTTGTGTCAAGGTCACTTTTTATGAAAACAGGAAAATGGTTCCCGGCCAATAACAAGAGTTAGATATAAGATATTTTTTCAAACTTAGTATATGGCAAGATTATGTGTAGATCTTACGTAGGGTTACTTTGCAAGACCAGTGAACCAAGGTCAATGACACTGTTTCTAAAAAAAGGAAAATGGTTTCCGGTCAATAACTTGAGTAAAAATGAGGTATTGTAATCAAACTTGGAATATAGAAACCTTGTGGAGACCTCGCTTTGGTTTGCTTTTGGGCCAATTAGGATCAATGTCCCTGTTACTACAAAATAGAAAAAATGATTTCTGGTTTGTTGACATGTCGTGCTTATTGATTGATCGTTTAATGCTTATGTACCAACTAAAACATCATATTGAATAATTTCATTATGACCTTGACCTTTTTTACATTCATCTGATATCGTTTTTGTTAAATAAAAAAAGCAGACAGTGTGGCCCCAGCTTGCGGTGGCTATTGTTGAAAATCAAATCTGGTTTCATGGCATTTCCGTGTTTCTTGTTAAAACTTGTAAAAGTTCAGAAGCCCGTCACCAGACCTATTTTCAGGACAAAGCCACCGTAGCTGACTTAATACGATACAATATGTAAAGCTATACCGTAGTGATTGTTTTGCTCTGTGTGTTGGCACCACAAGGGCTTTGTAAGCAAACTCCTCTGTTATGTTTTGCTATTCAAAGATCTACAATAAATAATACAATGATAAAGATATCATTTTGAGTAATCCTTATTTTGAAAGCTACCATATTGCTTGCTTATTCATTGCACCCTTGATAGTAGTAACTGACTAGCATGAATACGACATGAACATTTGGGCACATGTACAACCAGTCACTTTCATTGAGTGATTGAAAAGTCTTTTTAAATTTTAGTTTGCCATGACGTGAAACTATTTTGCATGGTTCAAGAACAGCTGAATTGTTTCTATCAAATAAAATGATGACCTTCTTTTGTATATTTTGTCTGTTATATTAATGATACAAGGTTGACAAATTACTGCTATGTATCAGAGGGGAACTCATTTGTTTTACAACTACATGTATCACAGACTTTTAAAGAGATCTTATTTTAGTAGACTGAGCAAATGAAACAAAACACTTTAAATAACGGACATATTTAATAATGAGAATGAATTTTAAAAACTGAAATAATTGAAATGAATGCTTTAATAGATAAACATTTTATCATAATTAACAAAGTAAATAAATCACATGATGTATATTCAATCTTTGAAACTATTAACTATAGAAAATGCATACAGCCTGGTCAGTATCAGCATTACTTTCGTTACATTTGACTATGTCCTAAATAAACGACAGACAAGACCATGACAACAATTCAGTATAGTTCAAGATTCTCAACTGTCTATAGTGAGATGTTGGCATATTTGTAGTAAAGTGTGAGAATATCTGAATAATGTCCTCATTAAACAAGCTTATATTGTATAACTAACAGAAGTCAATAAAACAAGATGAGCAATACATACAATAAATTATATTGTGAATTAAAACGTAAATAATTGTGCCGATTGAAAAGATAATGAAACATCTGAAAGTGTACAGAAAATTAATTATATAACATTGTTACAATTATTTTGAAGCAAGATAATAATGATACATAAATGCATGCATTACGCTTCTACAGGAAAAGATTTTATATATATTTAATGGTATATTTTGCGTGTGAAATATAATAGTTATTTCGAATGGGTTCCATCTGGAAAAAGCCAGTTGCCTGGTCAATATCAGAATCAGTTTAATTACATAACACCATGTTTGTAATAAACGACAGACAAACCATGACAACATTTTAGTGTAGTTCAGATTAACATTGCTTACTTACACAGCCGTCTTAATTAAGTTGTTAGTATATCTATAATTATGTGTCGGAATATCTGACCTATGTCATAATGCCAATGTACATTGTATAACAAACAGTAAACAATTGAACAATAAACAGTAGACAACTGAATAATAAATTCTATACTGAATTGAGCGTAAATAATTGTACAGGTTTAGATTGTAATGAAACATCTGATAGTGTACATAAAACCAATAAAAAACATTGTTACAATTATTTTGAAGCACAAATGTGATAAATATATGTTTAATGTTTATAGTTGCTGATCTGCTTCTTTCCAATCTTATTTGAGAGAGGGTGATTTACTTTAAAAGTTTCTAAATTGTACGGTGCTTGTTTTTGCTTTTTGTTTAATTCAAAACTTGTGTTACTGCTTCTTTTCAAACCTTTTAAAACAACGACAAACAACAAAAAGAGGGGTACAGAGAGCTTTATTATTGTATTATCTAACTACAGGTCCAGCTAAATGTAAGTGCGCGCAAATTGTAGACAAATAAGGTATGTGCATCACATAATACATCAAAGCACAGAAGGCGCTTAATTTGTTTGGGTGTCATAATGTCAGAAAGGTGAAGGTTGTGAGATTACAAACCAATGTGTTTGTATAGTGTCACCAATGCTGTTTCCAGTGTTATAACTATAGTAAATAGGCTATAAGACTAATTGCAACACTGATAAATGTTTATTTGGCTTAAACAATTAAAAAAAACATGAGTTGCCTGAACTGGGATTTCAATTCCAGACCTCTCGCTACCAAAGGGAGCGTGTAAACCCCTCGACCACGGGGAGTTATAAGATAACGGCTTGAAGAATACCATATTTTTCTAAATTAGAGTTTGTAACCCTTATTAATTTCGATATATTTTGTTCACGGTAAACGTGTTGTTTCACACTGAAGTAAAAAATAATGGAACTGAATATAAGCATGTATATCTATAAGAATAACACAATATTAGAAATCTTCGACCAATCGGAAACTATTTTTGCGTTACGAAAATTAATGCGCCTGTCATTTGACAATCTTTACGCAGTGATCTCCCCTTAACTTTTCTGGATTAATGTACATTTGAAGGGAAGTAACCGCTTCGAGGAGTTTGGACTACTTTCGGTATTTGCAAATAAGAACATCAGGGTCTGAAATTTCGCTACCATTATTTGTTTGGTCTGACGACCCAAACAAATAATCAAATGTCATTATAATATAACATCATGATAAGATCATAATGGCTACCAGCATTTTAACAACATGAATAGTATGTCAGTGAACAAAATATTAATGCATACAAATATCTTCCAATCCTTAAGAGTAGGAAGTAGTTTTATAAAGGAAAGTATTATATCAACATCAAAGCAAGCTGCCGTCACTAAGATA